AGTCCTTCGGAAGTAAGGGGCCAGGGAAAATAGCTGCATCTGAGACAAAACTCAGGAGACGGGCACTGCCTGTGGCCTGGTCACAGAGAGTGAAAAAGTGGGGAGTGGACGAAAGCTGAAGACAGAGGACGGGTGAGTGATTGTTGATCCGGGAGAACAGACTGGGTGGCTGGATGGTGCCATTTTCACCGCTTCTGCGCATGCACATACGCACCTACCAGTGCCACAACAATCCACCCCAGTAGGCTAGCAGCGCCATCTAGTGGAGAACGGAGCTGTTACACTGAGCCCCACCCAAGTGGGCCAACTTTCCTCTCAAGAACCCAAGTCTCACCCCCGGCTTAGTTTATGGACTATAAAGCGCTACATAGACTGACTTCTAGGGGAAAACGAAATAATTTCAGTCCTACTTCAATCTGTTAGCAGGTCCATATATTCAATTTTCTATCTTCCTTTTTTTTTCTTTTTTACACTTCTTTTTCTTGAATACAGAAAGAGAAAAAACTCATTTTTATTTTCAATTTTTCTTAAAAATATTTTTCTTTAAATTTTATTACTATATTTTTTACTTGTGTGTAAATTTTTTCAAATTCTATTTTACTTCCATCATTTTAGTCTACGTCAAGGTATTCACCTTTTTAAATTTTCAAATGATTTCCTTTTTTTCTTTCTTTTTCTTTTTTCTCTTTTTCATTTCTTTTCTTTTTCTTGAATGCAGAAAGAGAAAAACTTAATTTTTACTTTCAATTTCTACTAAAAATATTTTTCTTTAATTTTTTTACTATATTTTTTGCTTTTATGTAAATTTTTTCAAATTCTATTTACCTCCATCATTTTATTTTAATATACTACAGTGTATTCACTTTTTCAAATTTTCAAACAATTTCCTTTTTAAACTTTTTAAAAATCTTTTTTCTCTTTTTTCTTTTCGCTTTCTTGAATACAGAAAAAGAAAATATTCATATTTATTTTTAATTTTTATTAATTTTCTTTAATTTTTTTCTACTTTATTCTCTACTTTTGTGTATATTTTTTCAAATTCTATTTTACTCCCATCATCTCATTTTAGTCTACATCAGTGTATTCATTTTTCAAATTCTCAAACGATTTCTTTGTTTTTCTCTCCCCCCTTTTTTTTTCTCTAATCTGTCAAACCACTATCAACACCCAGACAAAACACACCTAGAATCTAGGATCATTAATTCGATTTGTGTGTGTGTTTGTGTTTTTAATTATTTAATTTTAATATTTTTAATTTTAATTTTTCTTCCTCATTAATTCCTTTTCTCCCTTCAAAATGACAAAACGAAGGAATTCACCCCAAAAGAAAAAGCACGAAGAAATGACAGCCAGGGATTTAACCAACATAGATACAAGCAAGATGTCTGAACCAGAATTTAGAATCACAATAATAAGAATACCAGCTGGAGTCAAAAATAGATTAGAATCCCTTTCTGTAGAGATAAAAGAAGTAAAAAATAGCCAGAATGAAATTAAAAATGCTATAACTGAGCTGCAATCACAGATGGATGCAGCGGCGGCAAGGATGGATGAAGCAGAACAGAGAATCAGAGATATCAAGGACAACCTTATAGAGGACAATGAAGCAGAAAAAAAGAGGGAGATTAAGGCCAAAAAGCACGATTTAAGAATTAAAGAAATCAGTGACTCATTAAAAAGGAACAACATCAGAATCAGAGGGGTCCCAGAAGAGGAAGAGAGAGAAATAGGGGTAGAAGAGTTATGTGAGCAAATCATAGTGGAAAACTTTCCTAACCTGGGGAAAGACACAGACATCAAAATCCAGGAAGCACAGAGGACTCCCATTAGATTCAACAAAAACTGGCCATCAACAAGGCATATCATAGTCAAATTCACAAAATACTCAGGCAAGGAGAGAATCATGAAAGCAGCAAGGGAAAGAAAGTCCTTAACCTACAAGGGAAGACAGATCAGGTTTGCAGCAGACGTATCCACAGAAACTTGGAAGGCCAGAAAGGAGTGGCAGGATATATTCAATGTGCTGAATCAGACAAATATGCAGCCAAGAATTCTTTATCCAGCAAGGCTGTCATTCAAAATAGAAGGAGAAATATAAAGTTTCCCAGACAAACAAAAATTAAAGGAGTTTGGGACCGCTAAACCAGCCATGCAAGAAATTTTAAGGGGGACTCTCTGAGGGGAGAAAAGGTGAAAATATAGATATATAGATACATAGAACTAAATACAGAAATAAGTACCAAAAGCAACAAAGATTAGAAAGGACCAGAGAACACCACCAGAAACTCCAACCCTACAAGCATCATAATGGCAGTAAATTCATATCTTTCAGTACTCACTCTAAATGTCAATGGACTCAATGCTCCAATCAAAAGACATAGGGTAACAGAATGGATAAGAAAACAAGATCTGTCTATATGCTGTTTCCAAGAGACCCACTTTAGATGTAAAGACACCTGCAGATTGAAAATAGGGGATGGAGAACCATCTATCATACTAATTGTCACTGAGAGAAAGCCAGTGTAGCCATACTGATATCAGACAATCTAGACTTTAAAATAAAGACTGTATCAAGAGCTACAGAAGGGCATTATATCATAATCAAGGGGTCTATCCACCAAGAAGACCTAACAATTGTAAACATTTATGTGCCAAATGTGAGAGCACCCAAATATATAAATCAATTAATCACAAACATAAAGAAACTCATTGATAGTAATACCATAATAGTAGGGGACTTCAACACCCTACTCACAGCAACAGACAGATCATCTGATCAAAAAATCAACAAGGAAACAATGGCTTTGAATGACACACTGGACCAGATGGACTTAACAGGTATATTCAGAACATTTCATCCTAAAGCAGCAGAATATACATTCTTCTCTAGTGCACATGGAACGTTCTCCAGAACAGACCATATACTGGGACACAAATCAGCCCTAAGTAAGTACAAAAAGATCAAGATCATACCATGCATATTTTCAGGCCACAACGCTATGAAACTCTAAATCAACCACAAGAAAAAATCTGGAAAGGTAACAAATACTTGGAGACTAAAGAACATCCTACTAAAGAATGAATGGGCTAACCAAGAAGTTAAAGAGGAAATTAAAAAGTATAAGGAAGTCAATGAAAATGATAACACCACAACCCAAAACCTCTGGGATGCAGCAAAGGTGGTCATAAGAGGAAAGTATATAGCAATCCAGGCCTTCCCAAAGAAGGAAGAAAGATCTCAGATACACAACCTAACCTTACGCCTTAAGGAGCTGGAAAAAGAACAGCAAATAAAACCCAAAACCAGCAGATGATAGGAAATAACAAAGATTAGAGCAGAAATTAATGCTATCAAAACCAAAAAACCAGTAGAACAGATGAAACCAGAAGCTGGTTCTTTGAAAGAATTAACAAAATTGATAAACCACTAGCCAGTTGGATCAAAAAGAAAAAGGAAAGGACCCAAATAAATAAAATCAAGAATGAAAGAGGAGAGATCACAACCAACACAGCAGAAATAAAAACAATAATAAGAGAATATTATAAGCAATTATATGCCATCATAGGACCCTTACACACCAAGTTACTTCTGTCTGAAATATTTTCTGCCCAGTTAAATCTACTCTTAGCTTAAGAGGCAGTGCCTCAGGGAAGACTTTCCTAGCCTTATTAATTCTATTAATTGGTTTCATAATACCTTATATCAATATCAATTTATATTATAATGCAGTGATCATTTTGCATTTGTTTACCATTATTAATTCCTTATTATGTTCATTACATCTTTAAGCTCCATTGCAGTGCTAGCACAGTGCCTGGCACAGAATGGGTATAAAATACATATTTACTGGAAATATGAAGGAAGGAAATAAAGAAGCCTAAAAGGAAGCAAGGAAATGGGAAGAGAATGTATGAATGATTGCTCGCATTTATTTTTCATTTCAGAATCATTGGAAACAGGCCAGCCCACCAGGACATGGGAAGATGGTGTACCTGAATTCACTCATTTATTCAACAAATATTTATATTCATTATTAATGTACTTTTTTTTCTGATTATGACCATAACTGTTCCATTTAGAAACCATGGAAAAAAAAATTCCCAAGTATAAAAGAGAACCAATTCACCTTTCATTCCACAGTCCAATGATAAACTACTGTTAAAATAATTTGGCAGATTTCTTTTCAGGTTTTTCTATGTACACATAATATATAGGTAGGATCATTATATAGGCAGACCTCCTTCTTTCTCTTAATGATATATTGGAACATTTTCCTGCATCCTTGAGTTTCTTGAACACGTGGCATTTAAATTGATAAAATATATTCCATTGCATAAGATGTATGTAATTTAGACACCTTTCCACCCATTGTTGGATATTTAAGGGCTTCCCAATTTGTTTCTTCTGGGGTGAGAGATAAATCAGGTAATGCATTGAATCTGGCACGAGGTGGATTTTGGGAAAACACGAGGCAGGTTTTTCCAAGGAGGCTGAAAAGAACAATTCCTTCTTGTAGGTTGCTGGGCCCCGGGCACATGTCCCCAGAATGGAACGTAATGTCGGTCAATGTAATGGACATTTTGTCTCACGGGTATGTGCTCAGAATCCGGGTGCCTCCTCCCCGCGTGGGTCTGGTCTAAGCACACCCTGCTTTCAAACCCTGAGGCAACGAGCCCCAGCAGATCTGGCTCCCAAGGGTGGACCGCCCCCGGCCAGCAGCCTAGAGTTCCGGCCACACGCCGCCACGTGCCAAGAGCAGGGCCCCGCCCCCTCCGATTCCCCGACACGCCCCTCATACTTGGCCCTCAAAAGCTCTCCCCGCAGCTCCGCCTCCAGGCGACCTCCGCAAGTCCTCCCGGTCCCTATAGTAGCCCCGCCCCAGACTTCGAGCCCCGCCCCCGCAATCCGGGCCCCGAGGCTGCCCCGCCCCAAGAGCCGTGTGCGAGGCGCGGGGGTGGGGCCCTGCGCGATGACGTGGGCGGGCGTGCGCGGTGACGGCCCGCGTCCCTGTTACTCAGCGGAGCGGCCGAGGCCGGACGACGCGGCCGGGAACGCAGAGCCGCGAGCAGCCCTGGGTAACGGCCGTGGCGAGCGCCTGGACGGCGCCAGTCCCGCCGGCGGGCTTTCCTGTCGCCGTTCGCTGCGTTGCGGGGTGAGTGCGGCGGGTGCCGCAGGGCCGGGGCGGCCGGCGGCCCCGCCGTGTTTATGTTATTGTGCCGCCGCCACCGCCGCCGCCTTCTCCTCAGCCTTGACCCCCTCCCGGGAGTGGGGGGCGGGAGCGCGCGCCGGCTGGGGGCGCGCGGCGGGCGGGGGCGGCGCGGGAACAATAGCGCTGGGGAGGCTGGGGCCGGCCAGGGGGCGTGGGGCTGCGAGACCCGGCGCGCCCAGGCCGTCAGCCCCCGGCCCGCCACTTCAGTTCCACCCGTCAGTCCTCGCGCGCCCTCCTTGCACGGGTCCCGCATCCGCGTCGGGAGGGGAAAATGGAGCGGGGAGGTGGGGGGGGGAGGGGGAAGCGGCGGGCGGCAAGTTCTGAAACACTTCGAGGAAGGTCCGGACGGAGGCGCCTGGGCGGCCCGCCGCGCCCTGGCTGCCTCTCCCGGCGATGGGGAGATGAGAGCGCTCCTCCGGTTGCCGGGTCCGGACGCCTTCCTGGCGCCCACAGGGTCCGTGGTTTGTTTCTCGGTGGTTTCTTTGTGCTAAGGCTCTGGGCGAACACAGGCAGCAGCTTCGAAAAAGGCTGGGGTGGCTTTCAGCGCTGGGCTGTGAGGGGGAGCCCTGCCCGCGACTTGCGTGGAAGGTGTCCATCACGCTGTGAGCGAGCTTCAGTGGTCAGCGGGCATTTCTCTTGAGGGTCACTCGGTGGTGACCTTTTGACTTTTTCACCCCACCCTCTCCTCTCTTTGTCTTGCCCTTGTGTTCCCAATCCTTAGATGGTAGGATCAAGTCCGGTTTAGAGTGTTGCGATGAACGCTTTTGATTTTTATTTCTGAGAGTTCCCTATCAGATGTTTACTGTGAACTTAATAACATGTTGACTACATGGTATCAGTGTTCAGTGGTTACTATTTTTACCTCTGAAATTCAGTAGTCTTCGGTAGAATTCTGGTCTGTCAGTCCATTGTGTTTGGAGACAAGCATCCAGCAAGTACCTTCTTGACAATTAGAACATCTGTTTATTTCATTCATTCATTCAGCAACTGTTCAGTACTGTACTCAGATGGAGAGTTTGAAGGTAAAGGGAAATATATTTTAATGGAAGAGGATGCTTTGAAATATAGATATGCCTTTAAATGATACAGTTATGTAAGTGATGAGTGTTAAAAAAGGTATTAGTTATACTCTCGGTCATTTCACTATTTTTTGTTAGTAGTACAATCTGGAACTTAGAGTGCAGTGTTGTATTAGGAAGTAGAGTTAGGAAGTTGGTCTAAATGTACAACAGCTTTATTTATTTCCAAATCTAACTTTTTAGTCTTAACAGCCTTACAGTCTTACAGTCATTTGTAATGTCTATCTCAGATTTTCCTGCTGTGGGTTAACCTAGGAGGGCAGATGCTCTAAGTGAACATGTTTAGTGCTGTGCCTGACAAAAGCAAGCAAGAAATCAAAATGGGACCTCCTTGAGGACAGGCCTGTCTTGCATCTGTGTCTCCAGCACCTAGCCTGGAATATAGTAAGTGTTCAATAAAAGTCTGATTGATGAAAAGCTCTTTACAGTCAATAAGATTTAAAGTCCAGTCTTTATCAATTTCAGTATCAATTTTTTTCTATCCCTTCTAAACCATTTGCTATCCTAAAATAAAACCTCGTCTAAAATGTTTTTTTTTAAGTATGTGTATCATGCACAGACAGTGATGTTTCAATAGGAGTCTAAAAATGATTGCATTTGTCTTTTGGTGACTATTGCTTTTGAAGTTTCTGATGACTAAGCAGAAAAGCTAGAATATGGGAAATAGGCTACCTAAAAGTTTTATTAGAAATGTTTAATTTCTAGGAGCGCCTGGTTGGCTCAGTTGGTTAAAGCATCTGACTTCAGCCCAGGTCGTGATCTCACAGTTTGTGAGTTCGAGTCGGGCTCTGTGCTGATATCTCAGAGCCTGCTTCAGATTCGGTGTCTCCCTCTTGCTCTGCCCCTCCCTCGCTCATGCTCTGTCTCTCTGTCAAGAATAAATAAACATAAAAAAAAAAAATTTTAAAAAAGAAATGTTTAACTTCTAATAGCATTTTTTTTAGAAATATTTAAATTAAAATTCTATCTTGGTGAAGCATATGGGCCTAAAACTCTAAATAATACCGATTTATCCCAAGTTACATCTTTTTTCCCCACTCACTGCTTAATGAATTTTAGCATTTGTTTTGGATATGAGCGAATTTGAGGTGAGCCCATTAATATCTGATGTAGAGTACAAATAAAAAGGAAATGATACTTTATTAAGATAAGGAATGAAAATCTTGAGATCCCAAACTTTCATTGCTTTGCCTAGTATGTCAGATTTCAGTAAGGTTTACTGATAGAATCCTTTGGCAGTAGCTCACTGTCAGGTTACATGTGAAACCAGTTTATTTTGTTTTGTTTATGAAATTCTTTTGTTTTTTAAAATCACAGCTTTATTGAGATACAATTCACATACCATAGGACTTACCGTTTAGAGTGTGCATCAGTGGTTTTTAGTGAATTCACAAAGTTTTGCATTGGTCACTATCTAATTCCAGAACATTTTCATCACCCCAAGAATAAACCCTGTACCCATTAGTAGTCATTCCTCATTCTACTCTAAATTATGTTAAAAGGAAGAGATAGCACTGAAATGGGCTCTCCTTAAGTGTCCCAGAACAGGTGGAAACTATACCCTTTAAATTCCTTTAGATCCTGGGAGAAAGGCCACTTGGGAAGGCAATTAAAGAATAAATTCCACCCAAATTAATGATGTTAGAATATTAACTCAATGCCTTATATTATGGAAATGACCTTGTGAAGATTCTCAAGTGAAACAACTTGAAATTATTTAAGTGATTATCCTAGTGGCAGTTGAAGAAGTTGTTGAATAGAAGTCTGGTTCAAGTTGTCTACGGCCATACCACCCTGAACGCGCCCGATCTCGGCTGATCTCAGAAGCTAAGCAGGGTCGGGCCTGGTTAGTACTTGGATGGGAAGTCTGGTTCATGTTAGTCTGATTTGTCTGTGAAGTGAATTTGGACACATTTGAATCGACCAGGTAGTTTAGATGCTGTGTTGCAAATATAGAAGTGTCAAATAATGTCTGACATGAAAGTGCCAGCTCTCTAGAGGTCTCTGGTCAAGTCAATGGTATAGGTAGTAGCCTTTCTGATTCATGTAGTGCAAGGAAGTCATTATAGCCACATAACTCTAGGTATGAATCATTTGCCTATTTCAGTGAGCTGTGATGCTTGTTGTCTTAGTCATAAGCTCTTACGTGAACATTTAGAAAATTTGTCTTCTCTTATGCAGATTAACTTGAACTCTGATTTCAGAAATGAGTTCTGAGTCAACAGACTTTACTACCTAAAAGATGACAGGAGTATTGAAACAAGAGCTGTCCTATCATTCAGGGCAGTAGGTGAAACTAGACCTGTCCAGGAATCAAACTTGGGTTCACTTCTCAGTTCTGTCTTCTGGACTTTGCCATTGAGTTCTAGAGCCATAGAAAAGTTGCTTAGCCTCTTTGGATTTAGAACTATAAAGTGAAGCTGTTGGAACTCTTTTTTGATAGAAATGTTACCAGATAGGTTTTTCTTCAGAAAACATACTAGGACAAAAAGAGTCCTTGGGTGATAATCAGAATTCTGTGTCAAGAACAGCAGTGAAACTTAGACTTTTGTAATTTTCAGAAGCAGAGAAAATTGTTAAGTCAGATATTTTCTGTAATACCCATTCTTCTAGAAAAAAGCTTCACAGTAACCTAAGAGTTTTTGAATGATAGATTTTATTCATTTTACAGCACCATGCTTACTAATGAGACTTCCATTACTCTCAGAGGGTTAGTGGAAGATGTGAAAATGAAGAGTTTATTAGCCTTAAGAAGCTTATGATCAGACATGGGACTAAAGGCATATCTAAACAGTGAATTTATGTTCTTTTAAAAGATTTATGAGAGCTTTCCCCAAACAAAAGCCTGCCCCGAATATCTGGACCGGCTAAATTTCATTGAAATCTGTTTTTTAAATTATATGCGAATAGGTAAGAAAACTTACTAGCCGCCATTCTTTTTCAGGGTGGTGGATTATATCATAAATATAGCTAATGTGGTGTTAATACATGTCTGTCTCCTGGTACCCTGTCTCCTGATACATCAGGTTTGGTTAAAATCTGCCGATTCTTTAGAAAGTTAAGGAGCCCAAACTTAATAGTGGTTGTTAACATGGGCTTTAGGGTCATCTCTGAGTTCACATTCATGCTCCAAATCTAATTATATGGCCAGGTTAGTTCAGGGTATATAACATCTTTGGGCTTGTTTTATTATTTGTCAAATGAGAGTAATAATAGCACATAATCTCATAGGGCTGTAAAATTTAAGGTACTGTATGTGAAGTGCTTGACAGTAATATAGTACCTGGAATACTAGATAAAAGTATTCAGGAAATTTTAGCTATTATTAACACTTAAGATTTTTAACTTGGAACAAATGCAAAATGCCAAGTAAATTAAAAACTAATTTCATGTACAGTAAACATTTGAATTCTCCAAAATGCCAGTTGTTTTCCGCTGCATCTTTGGGGTTTGTTTAAAATTGGATTGTCTTAGAATCTAATCTGAATTGGCTGAAATGATTTAACATTTGTACCACTAATCCTCTCTGCTTTAAAATTTAGAAACGTTCCAGATACAAATATTAAAAGAAAATTATTTGCCACATTCTCTGATACAAAGTTATTTTGCCGTGTTTACCTTTACCACTGCAGAGAATTGTCCAAGCTTTCCTAGGTTGATTTTGACAGATTTCTAAAAGAATGGCAATCCAGGAATGGGGAATAGCTGTATCATGTACCCGTATTTGAAGCAAATGGAATACTGTTATATCTTTAATCTTCATTTTGACTCTGTGAAGATTGCAGATTTGTCAGAGACCGGGTAACCACAACAGTTCATTAAGCATTTTCTAGAGGTCTCTAGAAAAATGAGGGAAATTATTTATAAGTGGCATCTGGAAATATTTTTCCTGTGTTTTTCTGTTTTCTGTGTAGTGTTTCTGTGGTTATATTGGTACATCAAATTTCTTGCTCCTTCTTGAAGACAGCAACTATGAAATGATGTTAGTTTTACATAGGCAGTATTCATTGAGAAGCCATCTACACCAATCCAGGAATTAGGTGATGTGGGGGCAACAGGAAGTAGAAGTTAGTCTTTCCTTTCAGTGAGTATAACTTGATGGGAAATAAGGACAAACGTAAGTACACTTATGTCCTAATTCAAGGAACCAGATATTGTTAGGCGTTTCATTGGGAATTTCTTTCATCTTGAGGCCTGAGTGCTGGATGGTGGAGCATTTGGCGACTTCCAAACCATACATCTCTTACCTTGCCTTTTAAAATATACTTACTAGGGGCACCTGGGTGACTCAGTAGGTTGTGTCTGACTCTTGATTTTGGCACAGGTCATGATCTCACAGTTTTGTGGTGCCTGCTTGGGATTCTCTCCTCCCCCCTGCCCCTCCCCCACATGCTTGCTTTCTCTCTCTCTCTCAAAATAAATAACCTTTATTAAAAAAATAAAGTAAAATATACTCACTAGATAAACCGCAAAAAGCAAGAGGTCTTCTTTCCTAATTTCTGGTTCAAGTTGTGACATGGTACAGATAAGTCAAAATGTAAATCATGAGAAAAGACAAACTTTATAGTCATCTCAAATGCATTTTGGAGCACAGTAGGATATTAAAAGAAGTATATGAAAAGCAGATAGAAAAGATGCTATTCACATATTAACCAGAATCCTCAAACTCTGCAGTATTGAAGCTCTGAAGACTTAAAGCTAGATTTATGCTAGGAGCATTTTTCTTAAATTTTTCTCAGAGAAGTATGGGTTTCACTGCTTCCTGTTGCTGAGGGGCTCAAGCCCCAACATATTTTTAGGGTCACTAGGAAAGAAAAGAGCCAAGCACACCGCCTTTGCTTGGCATGAGACATTAACACATCAGGAACTTGCTGTTTTCTAAAAGCTGTTAATGGGAATGGATACTCACCCTTCTCTGACTTGCTCTTTACAGAGTGAATCGCAGCTGCCATAAGGGTCAACCAAAAGTGAAATAAAGGAAAGCCATCACTGTATAGATTTCTCTGTGACTTAAGAAAGGGTTACTTTTTAGTCAAAACAAAAACCAAAGCATCTGGCTGAGAATTAAAAAAGTTTTAGTAATTTTATTTATATTTAGACTAAGTAACTTACTCATTTTGATTCAGAATTCCAAAGATTGAGAAAGATATAGTAAAAAATATCCTTCCCATTCTCTTCCTCCACATGGAAACAGTGTTAAGTTTCCTGTGAATCCCTGTAAAGAAGTTAATGTATGTGCAAGTAAATACACAATTACTTGTCCAAAACCCTGGATCCAGATGCGTTTCAGAATTAGTTGTTTTTTGGGGGTTTTTTTGGGGGGGGAGGTTGCTGCAGAAAGGTAATATAGTGCATCGACCATTTCATTCAAAATCCCTAGTGGA